GTAGGGGGTGATGTTGCTGTAGTCGAACGGTGAGACGGACGTGTAGTTCAGTTTTGGGCACGCGTACGGTGCTGCAGGGATTATATATAGGTGTAGTAGTACCTCTTCGGGCTCTTGTACACCTTTTTCTTGCTACGTGTGCGTGTTCTTTAGATCCTCAGATGGCTCCAGCACTTTCGTGACCACGGGCCGAGAGTCTTTGCTAGATTTTGGCATTTAGCAATTGGCATACGGTTTAATGTGAAGTCAACAACAACAACAACAACAACAACAACAACAACAACTTAGCATCCAACAATTTTCTGCTTGCTGTACCTTTATCAGCAGCTTCGTAGATAGCGTACCATGATTGCAGAGATAGATGCGTCAGTACGCACATCAGGTGCGGATCCAGAAGGAGGGCTCCGGTCAAAAGGAAACACACGCATTCCCCTGTTGCCGTTATTTCAACGGAGCAACAAAGTGCGTCTATAATACATGGAGTGCGTGTGCAATACAGGCGGATAGCGAGGGCCGCGGGCCGCGGGCCGCGGGGTCTCGGGTCTCGGCACATTTGCTGTGGCCACCAAAAAAAGAAACTGAGATCTGCACGAAAAACAAGAACATAAAAGTTCGAACTCTGGGGACATGGGCGTGCTTACTACTTATACTACTGCTTGTCCTCCCCTTCCAACGTGTGAAGGGATCTACATAAGTCAGTTGCAAAGTCAACGCACCCCGCAACGGCGATCGGGAGAGTGGGGAAGTCAGGTATGGCCACCTTCGTGTCCCTCGAGAGGTATGCACACGTCGGTAAAGTAAGGATATTTGGAAGAATTTTTGTCTTTCGATCTATATTTGCGGTTGGTTGGTGATGACAGAAGATCGGCGACTCTTCAGGATAGTTCCGTTATTTTTTGTGTGTTTTTCGGCACAGACGCACACACCAACCCGGTCACACCAACCACGCCGTCGACAGTCTAGTGAATACTGCTACAGCTGCTGGAAACAAGGAGGCCGCTGTCTAGGTTTGTCGGGATTCAAAAAGAGGTGCGTGTATGCCTACGACATGATGGTGACGGTGATGACGGTGTGCTGCTGTTGTCGCCGCCTGTGGCCCATGCCAAGAGGATTGATCATTATGTGATATCCTATCCGTTGCTAGACGACGCGAGCGAGTATTCCTGGTTTACCTGTAAGTGGTCTCAATCAGGCACCCCCCGTCGCGGTGGCTTGTTTGAACGTAGCTGTGCCATGAGGCTAGCCAGGCTCGGCGCCGTGCGGCAGGCGAGCAGCACGCTGTAACCTGGATCGAGAAAGTTGCTTGCTGGCCGGCGCTACTGGTTCTTTTGTCTCTTGGTTCAAACCAGCGGAAGTTATTCTTGTGTCGTACATCGTTCCCCGCGTGAGTCTTGTGTAACGTCCTGGTCCCTGCCGACTGCAGTAGTGCGCCAAGGCCTTGACCCCCATACCGTGGTCGCACCACAACACTCACCGCTTGCTTGTTCAGACCGCCGGCTCTTCTGTCGATGCGACCATGACCGTTTTGCCAAGGCCACGCGCTCTATTTGTATACGCACACTCGCTGTGGTTCAACCAAATCAGATGTGAAGGTCTTTGTTTGCCCGCGCGTGTCTCCTGTGGACAAACCAACAACGTATAGGTGTCACGGCGAGCAGCAACATGAGGACTGACGTGATACTGCTAGGGTTGGCCTCGCTACTTGCCAATGCGTCAGCAGGCGAGGGTGGGCTCAGCCAGCACAAGGTAAGGGCGTTGTTGGGCTTCTGATGGATGAATGATGCCGTATTAGGAACGCACATCTTACTGCTTGCCTTGACGACATCCATCGTGAGCCTTGTTGTAACGGTACTTTTTCCCAAAATCCGTGATCTTGCGTTCTGTGCTGTGTCATCCCACTCCATAAAATAACTCATCTACATGTATGCATTTGGTTGATGAAGCCCCGTTTCGCTCACAACCAGGCTCTGTATTAGCTGCAACAAGCAGAGGGCTGCTCTAGGTCAGCGATGATACTGTAGCACAACTAACTTCAAGTGTTGCGGCTGGCGTGAGAGGGCAGAATTATTTTCCCAGAATTGTTACATCTCGAACGATTTTTGAAGCGGCCTTGAGCATAGATTCAATTCAGACTTCACGCACACCAAAGTGCTTGGCCATCATTGTCCACAGTCTTGGGCGTGTACGTGTATTATTGTGGTCTAGGTTTGGCGATCTACACGGAGGTTGCATGCTGCAAGAAAGGTACGTGCTCCCTTTGGTAAATTTGTCTCTCCGGTAGAATGCATGTCCTTGTACAAGTAATAATTTGGGCGACAATAATTTTCCCGATTCCCGATGATGCGGTTGTGTTAACGCGCGAACCATGGTTTGCCTTCGTCATCCCGATGTCCCGTCGTGACAAGTAATAATTTGGACGACAATAATTTTCCCGATTCCCGATGGTGCGGTTGTGCGAACGCGCGAACCATGGTTTGCCTTCGTCATCCCGATGTCCCGTCGTGGTATTAACCGCGGTTCGAGTACAATCTCATTCCAGCGGTGTCGTAGGCTCGGTACTAGTATTGCAAGTAGGTTTTTGGTGCGTCGAATGCCTTTCACCCGTGTATACTGGTACCATCACTCACCACATTGGCGGGTGTGTGTAGACTACAGCAATGACTAACCGTATTCTATCCTACCTGGATTTCACCCGCCCTTACAGCAGCAGACCCCAACCCCAACCCTAACCCTAACCCTAACAGAGGGCTCACGACTGGGGTAGAATAGAATATACAATACCGTAAATGTCTTCGGTGACCCCGCTCTTTGTGGCGTGTGTGAGAGGCGCCTCAAGATCAGGTACAGGCTGTATAGCAGTTACTCCTATCTACGTGAACTACAGCATTTTGCCGGTCGTTTCGTCCTCAGAGCTTTGCATGATACGGCGGTACCGCCTTATCGTGTGATATGGAATTGATGACGGCGAGGCTTGAGGCCGCGAATGGTTGTTGCTGTTGTCTTCGCATTAAACTCGTGTCAGTTGCTCCTCCCCAAATCTAGCAAATACGCGGTCCGTGGTCACAAAAATGCTAGAGCCATCAGAAGATCTACAGAACACACAAACTATTAGCAAGAAAAGGGTTGTACACAAGCCCGAAGAGGTACATCTAAATCCCTGCAGCACGTTTGCGTGCCCAAAAACTTTACACTACATTCGACTACAGCAGCATCCCTCCTGTCCCACACTTTACCAAAATGAATGTTTGTCGACTACCGCGTACAGCTGTCTGGAGTCCTGGCCAATATCAACATGATAGGGATGGTACAGGTTCGGGACGCGCAACTGCTGTCTGAATTTCTGCCAAAATGCGTCCGTGGACGTAGTCTTCGGTGCAAAAGAACAACCAACCAAAGCCATAAATGCAGTTGACAATCACAGAATCTACCCCCGATCATCTGTGTTGGACACAGCAGTGTAAGTAATGGACTAGGAATCGTTCCAAAGTGAAAGGGTCTTCCACGATGCAGGTACACAATAAAGGCACCCGGGGTATCCGCGACATCTCTGCCGCGTCTCTACAAACCCAGTAATAATAACGTCATCACACACATCCGACACCGATGTTCAGTAAAAACGGAAAAACATTTGATAACACAAAATGTTCGTCCGTGCGTCACGGTTCGATGTCGTCCGTCCGTGTGCTCCAGTGCCGTTGGTTTGGGGCCGCTGCTCCGGTGTCGCTGCGGCCAGTCTTAGCACGACCAAACTCGACCCGCTCCGTCCGTACACGCTCTCGTTGTTGTCCTTCCCAGTCCGTTCCCCGCTTTCTCCCTCGTTGCACTTAGGGTTCTTGGTCTGAAAATTCTGGTCCAATAGGATATAGTCTATGCGTACAAGGATCATAACATACTTGCTGTAAACAGAGACCCCCCGTGCGGCGCGTTCACCAACGTTCATGGACTCGGAACACGTTATTCTCAATGGCAGCCCTTTTTGAGGAAGGCGAGCTTGGGCGACGCACGTGGCCGGAGCCTCCAATCCGGTGAGAGCCGGATGCAATAGTCGGTGATTGAAGAGCTTGTTGAAGGCCTTACATGTAGACTCCCCTCTCGTGTGTGCCTTACAGCAGTACAGCATGCTGTATCAATCTCGGCGGGGCTTGTCGACGCAGAACGGACGAACGGGCACATAGCAACGCGCCTTGTTGTGATTACGCAAATCATGTACGTGTTGACGTGCTTGTGTGCATGGTATGGTGAAGCAGGGGGCGCACTCCAGCAGCACCACGGCCCCGAACACCTTGTCTGTCGGATGCACAGGCGTCATCGACCACTCTCCGGGTACCCCCACGCTCGTCTCCTAACGAGCAGCTGCACACCTGTATGAGTCGAACAAAACAAGTGTCCCAGACATGCAGCATCTCATACCCCTGATAACGACCCAACCCCCCCCCCTTCTTGTTGCAAAAAGCCACGACCCAGACTTGCAGCAACGGCATCGAAGGTATTGAATCCACCAACGGCGGCGTCTGCTGCCCTGCTCTATGTGGCCTCTGCGGAGGGGCAGCGTGCACCAAGGCGGCAGTGGACGCCGGGCTCGACGATGGCGACTGCTGCTTCAGCGACATCATTCGCTTCGGTGCCTCGTGCTCCGAGAACCAGATGGCGCCTTGCATTATTGACGGTGAGCAAGCCTGAGTTTTTCGTTGTGTGGTGGCGGTGGTTGGTGACGGTCGACGGGTGTGTTTCAATATTGGCCAACCGCAACAATCATCCTTACCAACCCCACCCCACCCCAAAACGAAACGGGCATTGGGCCAAAGCATGTCGCAACGCCCTTATAATAGGATACCGCGTCGATGTCCGTTGTCTCTGGTTTGTTGTCTGCGCCCTCCTTGTTCCTGATGCTTTTCGTTTCTTCGCGTGAAGATGCCAGCAAAGCATCTGCGGGCAACACTTGCTCCAACGCCAACGGCGTCGAGGGTATCTCGTCTGCTAACGGCGACGTTTGCTGCCCGTCCGAGTGCGGCCTGTGCGGGGGACGAGACTGCACCCAAGCAGCGCTGGCAGCAGGCCTCGACGACGGCGACTGCTGCGTCAGCGACATCACTAAAGAAGGCGTCAAGTGCTCCGACTCTGGAGCCGCTCCTTGCATTGTTTACGACTGTGAGTATTTGCCGTAGCAGGCCTCGACGGCCGTATATACTGGTTCGGGGTACATGCTGTTGTCGTTAGATCTTTTTTCTGCTGTTTGGACGCGGTGTCTACAGAAAGGTTTGCTTTGGCGATGCCGCTTTCTCGGACGGAGATGGAGACGTCGGCTCCACCATCTGATCAGGACACGAAACATTTCGGTCCTTTGATATGATAACGATAGAACCCCCTCGGGGCGTGTTCCGGGGGCGTTCTCAGAGGTAGGGGAAGGGGGGGGGCGACCTTTCCACGAAACGTCACGGAGCCTCGGGGGAAAAATGTCCCAGGGGTGGTGTGTGCTCATCCCGACTATTCTGGCGCCAGTCTTCACACTTGTTTTCGGCGTGACGTTCTGACGCTTGGGCGGATGTTTGTGGTCGTGGAGGTAGGTATCTGCCCTGCTGTACCCCTCGCCGGAGGCATCGTTTCATCAAAGCCTAACCTGCGGGGTTCTTTCGTCCAGACTTTCCTTCACTAAACAATTGTCAACCGTCAAATGGTCTTCCCTTCCCGGGCTACGGACATACTGTAGACTGGGTCCATGACGCAGACGGTTCCGATCCGCTCCGTGTGATATCTGGCCACCTGCAGATTTTCGGAAAATTTTTCTACCGCGATTCTGAGGTCCCGTCGACACACGTCGCGCTCGTCGCTAGACGCGTGCGTTCAACAGCAGAGCTTGCGTGGCGGGGTTGAAGTTTCTGGCATGCATTGGTTGCGCTAGCGACGTGAAGTGCATTGTTCGCTTTCCCCTTCGAATGCGCTTTATCATTGATGTCCCCTCTCCCACCCCTCCCGGTCTTTTCCGGGCCGCCGGTGCCGACCCGTGTTGTCTTGCGGCCTTTCGACGTGCGGACCGGACCGTTGGCGGCGGGCGGCTCCCATCCGTTGATCTTGTTGATCTAGCTGAGGATGAAACTGGTGCGTGTACCTTACTTGCGCAGCCAGGGTTCCTTCGGTAGTGCGATCGAAACCTCGAGCGTTGGGTACCATACAAGACTCAGATATACGCGCATCCGTGTAGTGAAGAACCCCGTGTCATTTTCCCTGGCAACTTTTTCTAGTACAACTATCCCGCACTCCACTCGAGCAAGTCTGACTACTTTGGACGGCAGGATATGTCCCTTTGACGCTCCGTTCTCGGGTCGCTGATCTTTTCCAGAGCTTGCCGTCCCTGTATTGTGAGGCCGCCAGGAGATGGCGCCCCGCATGGAAACAAGGTCGGAGAAGAGAACCAAACATTTTCTGGTCAAGGCTGATTTCATTCAATACCAGGGCACACGTTGTGTGGTGAGCCAAGTTTTGTAGTGTTTCGCGACGACAATCTGAGCCTATTTTGTTATAACGTACTGTTACATACTCATATATATATATATATATATTATTCTTGTGCTGGCGCCGACTGCTGTTTGTTCGATCATCAGGCTCTAACCAGGTTCGGGAAGCATCCACCCCGGTGTACATCACTCTCGGCTGCGGCAAGATCGGCGACTATGAAGACCCCTTCACGGTTTCGTCGACGGTGTCCGACCTCACCGTGGAGGTAAGACGGCCACCACCACCAATCGTCCCGCCCGCAGCAACACGTAGTACACACACACGCCCCTCCCTTTATTGTTGTTTGAATCACGTGCCATCGACACCATCCGATCCTCTATCTGTCTGTTGCATAATCCCTGCCAACATAACACAAGCGTGTTTGGAACGGACGAACTCGAGACAAACATCGAACAACTCCTCCCCCCACAGAACACGGTCGCTAACTCGGAAGAACGGGCTGAAAAGGCGGGAAGGGATTTCGATAGGGTGGAGACAACGTTCTTGAGCCACCTCTGGCAAAGCAGCAAGGAATGATTGGCCATCGGCGATTGGACCTCTGGGGACAATGCTCGGTTCTCTCGGGGACGCACGGTCAACGGTCTGACCGCAACGGTGTGCGAAACAGGAGTACGCCCGCCCCCCGGAAGCCGACGTCGTTTCTTCCAAATCTTGCAAGTCATGGACACCATCGTTTTGTTTCTCTTGCAAGCTAATCATTTGAGAAGACCACCATTCTGTTCCTTGTCGTCACGTCCTGAGAACCCCCCCCCCCCTCACATTATTCTGGCAAAACGCCTGACAGGCGTGCTACGAGCTGTGTGCCTCGGAGTCCTCGCTGTACTTCGCGCTTGTCGAGGGCGACGTCTGCTCGTGCGGTGACCAGGAAACTTTCGTCCAAACGTTCCTCGATTCGTACGAGGAACAGACCGCAGGGACGTGCAACACCGCTTGCCCGGGATCCCCGGACGAGACCTGCGGCGGGGCCCAAGCCTTCGACCTTTACCGAATCCGTGAGTCGCTTTTCATCCGTCCACCCTCGGCGGTTTGAGTGATAGCCTGAGCCGGCCACGGTGTGCTTGCAGCAGTCGTTGTTGTACGATACTATGCTCTACAGACAGAGCTCCCCCAGTGCCATTATCTAAAAAGAGTCAAGGCAGCACACAAAGGTGGTAGTCTACACGATGCACGCTCTCTTGTTATTCATCTTTTTTTAGGGATATATGCATCCCATCAAAGAATCACGAACCGTTATTAGAGATACGACCACGATAGTCGAAAGGGACAGTGTCTTTTGGTTTGGATTCGGCCCGACGACGAGAGAACACCGCTTGTTCTTGGCTCTTGCATGATGACGACGGCTTGCGAAGAACACATACGTGTTGGCGGTTTTGTAGACCAAAACCTAGTGTTTCGTGCCGTGACTATTGTGTACTGTAGTACGGGCATATTTTGCACCAGTATGTGCGGAAGTCCTCTTTCCCAACACACCCACGACGACGCCCCGTTCCTTCCTGTTGCCCTTCTCTCTGACTTGAAAAAACGTAGTACCGACGTGCACCGGCGGCATCATCGGCGTCGAGGCCGCGAGCGGGGACGTCTGCTGCCCTTTCTCGTAAGGACACTAACGCCTACCGTATGTACTATTTTTGTATGTTGGTGGTTGGGCGGGTGGGTGGGTGTGTTTTTTTTTCGTCGACCGCGCTAGCCGGCTGACAAATGAAAATTCGCCATGTGCTCAGCGCGGACAAACGCAAAATGCTTCTGGACATGATCTAGGACCTCATGTGTGTGTGACGGGTTTTTTGTTTTTGCCGGTCCCAGGCATCCGTCTTGCGCCGTCGAGATCATGCTGACGTCGTGCGCTCTGTCACGAATGAGTGTTATTATAGTGGGACGACATGCTGTGCAGAACGCTTGCAAGTCGCTTTGGGAGCACGTTGTGGTATATAGTTGGTGTGGTGAGGAGATGTATGTGCTCAATTGACAAGGGGTGATATTCTTGGGGTGTTGCAACAGCGTTTGAGAGAAGAGGTTGAGACGCTCTTGACAGGTTGTGACGGCGTCGCTGGGGGCAGGTATACTTCTTGTAGCTGTAGTGTAGGCGTTAGGTGCCTCATCTTGACGCCTATCACGGGAGTTAACTTGCGTGTGTGCGCCCTCTCTCTGCTGTGATGTGATGTAATCAGATGCGGCGAGTGTGGTGGAGACAAATGCGTCGGAGAGGGGGGCTGCTGCGAGCACACGATCCAGTCCAGGGAAGGCCTCTGCGAGGACACGAACGCGGCACCTTGCGTGTTCAACGTTGGTGAGGCTGGCTGGCGCTGCTACTATAAGTACTGCCTGAAGTCACATCAACATCTTGCTTCTTCGTCTTTCTAAAGTACATGTATGTTGCCTGTCGTTTGTGCGATATGACGACCTCATGGTTCGACCCTACCAAGTGGTTCTTCAGGTCAGACTGGTCGTAGAGGAAATCGCACCGAACCAATTCGTCGTCCAAGAACTTGCTTCCCAGAAAAAAAATGAACAGGTGCCGCATCCCCAACTTTTCTCTAGTGATTGGTCTGCCCTGCTTACCTTTCTCAACCATGACGCCTTCATTTTTTTTGCCGCCGCCCCTTCCGCTCTCCGAACAGTTGCGCCGCCCCCGACCCCGGTCCCCGCGCCCACAACGCCTATGCCCACACGCCCCCCCGGGCCAGTGAGCACTTGCACCGGCGACATCCCCGGCCTAGAGTCAGACGACGGCACCGTCTGCTGCATGGAGCACTGCGCCTCGTGCCGGATCGAGAGCGCGGATGAGTGCGCGGGCGTGCCGGCGTGCTGCCAGGAGAAGATTTTGCTCACGGGGCTCATGTGCTCCGACGAAGGGGTAGAGGAAGGCCCCTGCATCCTCATGTAGGCCGGTACGTCCGTGCGTGACAGCGTCTGTCTGTGCGTAGGGTTCATTCTCTCTTCTGTGCATGGGGTGCCTTCTTTGACGAGTTCATTTGCATAGTAGACCGCGCGCGCGCTATGTATCCGGGTGATTTTGGCGTTTGTGTGCTTAAGGGACCGTTGTCGGTTCTGCCCGTTTCACCGAATCTTCGTCGTAGAGCTACATAGCTTGTGGCCGCCTGAAGGTGTTAGATCAATGGTACTCAATGTAGCTCCTTGGCCTGGGGGAGAGTGTTTCACATCGAGGGCCGGCTTATGCTCGCCAAGCTCACGGTCGCACGATTCGATTCGGACTCAGGTGGCCTTCGAAGCGCAGCAAAACATGATCTTCGCACGCAATGGATTTTCTTGATATAGTCTAGACTAAGTTCGTCCCCTCGCCCTGCCTCGCGTTGTGTCCCCAACGTCACAGAGAGAACGACGCCCGTCCTGAGGCGCGAACCCTGGCCGCCGGAGCACTCACTCGTCAGTCACTAGTCTCCGGGTTCAGCTGGGCGCGAATTGCTCGCCCACAATCTGTCTCGGTCTGTCGAGCAGGTGGTGTACTTGAACGCCGTGATTTGTGGCAAGTGAGCGTTGTCTTGTTTTATGTGGTAGACTAGACCAGTCTATTGCTTTGTAAATGTGGCGGACCATAGTCAGTAACGGCTTCCTCGCTGGACTTGGGTTAGTTGGATTCATGTCGCGGTCATTTTCGTTCACGGGGCGATGTGGGTATAGGCGATGAAGGCTTATCCGCCGTAAGTGTAGCTCCCGTCCTCTTGTGATTGTTTCTCAAGCAGCTCTTCTTTGCCTTACTTGGTTTTTGCCATGTCTTTTGCGGGATTCCGCTCCGCCTTCTTACATCTTTGATTAGTCTAGTGCAGATAGTTTTTGTCCCTCAGCCTGCAGAAATCGGGCACCGCCAAATCTTGGAAAGGATTTCCTTGCGTCCTTTTTGCCGTGATGGCAGCGTGCGAGAATTGGGGCAACTTGGATTTAAACAATCTCGGCTGCTGGTTTTAACGTGGATTTGTTGCTTTTCTTGTATAGGTCACTATTTCCGGCAAGGAGCGCGGTCAAGGTACGCGTAGAACAAAATGTGGCAGTCTTTGCCCTGCATGTAGTGGGTAGCCTCGCAGAACCCTTTTTCGATTTCGAGCGCCGGGCTGGCGTGTCGACCAAGAAACGTCATTCGCTCTTGTTTTCACTCTGTTTAGCACCAGCAACATGTGGCAGGCAGCGTTTCTTTTGGTGTCAAGAGAGACACTACGTGTTGATTGAGTGTCTTTCTTGGTCCTTCGGGAGAAGAGCATGGGGGAGGGGGAACATCAAGAATCGCTGATTGTTGCCATGCATAGGTACCCAGACCAGTTGTTGTGTTCATGTTGGTCTGGCACTATTATAATAGTCTACTGTTGTAGATAAAAAAAAAATCCATTTGCCCGATTCTCTTGCTTGTTTCAGTGTGTACTGTACGCAGAGCAGAAACCGCTGCTGCTGTGGTTGTTCCACGTTATTTGTATGTTTCTGTCCTGTGTTACATGCCTTTTACACACGTAGAGGGGGACCAGGGCGTAAGGCACTACCGTGTACGATGTCCGTTATCATTCGCAAGTGAGTACGATAACGAAATATATTAGGTTTTCACTCTTGGGTGTTTGCTATGCTTGTTCAGTCTGCCGGTAGCACCTACACATGCGTAGTCGCGTCGTCCTTGCACACACGCATTCATGTCATTCGGCGAATGCACGTGTTGAGGCTGTACGACATGTAACAGCCATGGCTGTAGTATTCCCACGGCTATCCACGCCCACCCCACAGATGTCGGTGTAATTTACGGTACCGACCTTCACCCAACCCGCCACGTTCGAAGTGTCCCCGGAGAAGTTGCTTGCACACAAAAAAATGAAGAACACAAGCGGCAAAAAAAGTTAAGAATGTTTAGCATCTGCCTGTATTTCTTTCGTGTCCTCGCTCCGGCAGATTTCGAATCTCTGGTGGTTTTCCGCTACAACGTATCAATGCCGACTGGTTGAGGCAGGACGCTAACTAGTGGTAGACTCCCTGGAAGAGACGAGACATGCCCTGGGGTGTTCCACTTGAAGGTTCTCAGCCTGGGCGACCCGGAAGATATGCTGTGCGTGTGGTGCCCACGTTTGTTGCGGTTAAATCCTCCGAGTGAATTCCAAGAGGGAATACTTTCATCCATCGCACAGCTGGTTGAATTACTGAAGAATTGAGAACCGACACTCGTGAAGCACAGACACTTCGAAGACGAATAACAGAGAGAACAGTCACACATGATGTAGCATGCATAAAAAATAAACTGTCAATACCAGAGAAAACAACAGTAACATGCGCACGAACGCATGACGCGAGTTCTCACACACAAATGCTGCACAAAGACCAACCGAAAGATAGCCCAAACGTACAACAGCTGGGCGCATACATGCCCAAAACAGAAAAGGGAAGTGACCCACATGTAGTCGCCGACGTTTCCACCGCCAGCATTCCACAAGAAATCCTCCTCCTTCCCTGAACGACCTTTCTTTACCCGTCTTTCCCACGCATAATAAATAATCCCTACACCTACGATACTTGGTGGACTGAAGACCTTCTGTAACCGCCACTATCTTTTACTCGATGAATCTGCTACACCTACCTTGCTGAGATGCATATCCTCGTCCCTGACCTCCCACCTCAACACCTGCACGGCACGTGGGTTCCGTGCAGGTCTGTGCCGGCTACACCTCCTAGATCGATTCGTCCACGACCAGATGTACAAATCATGTGAGGCGTCTTCGAAAAGTTCGCGACGAGGCGGCTCCAACGCCGAATTCTTGGGCGCGATCACACTGCTATTATTGAAAAGTAGTCGACCTTGAACCATCGTTGCAGGGAGTGTGGTACCTTACGTACATGCAACCTACGATAACGAGATTGCTCGGCACCCGATCAAAACGCGTGCCTCTTGAAGCACCACTCTCACGGTAAGGAAGGCAGAAGACGGTGGTGACGAAGAGTGAGAGGTCGGCCAGTCACAGCGATCGTGGAGGAAGAGCATGTCATCAAACATGAAACCGTTGCAACGCCTCCAGCCTCGGCCACGCCCCACCACTCAAGAGTCTACTCCCGATCCCCTACACACCACGCCAATACAGTTCCAATCCTCCCGGTGCGGTGCTGGCTTACAGTTACTTGTCAATAACGTCGAGGGGTTTATCTTTCGAATTCCCGCTGTGTTCCACAAGCCCCAGCTTTAGCAAATACACATACAATCGAAGAGAGACTAAACGTTTGTACGCATTCAAGGGATACTATCCCACAGTCGAAGGTGATTTGGGTTTCGCGGGCTACAGCGTGACAGCACGGCACGGCACGGCAGTGGAGGGGCGTAAGACCCTCACAAATAACCACACAACAAACACTATTTTACCACTTCTAGGGGGGCGACGCTGGAAAGGAAACAAAGCAGGACTGAGTGACGGAAGAAAAGGCAGGATGTGATTTGTCCTGACGGCCAGCCAGGCCTCTTGTGTCTCCGTGCCTGTGATTTTCTTTCTTTTTCTCCTTCTCGAATCCCTTTTGGCTGCGCCCCCCGCTCCCTGTCGTTCTGCTGGTTCTCAGAGATACCAACGTGGGAGCCGAGTCGTGCATAACGTATGCCATGCAGCAGTACCGTGGACCTCGTAGATCTTGTAGATCACGACATTTTTTTGAGTGGCCTGCGCCACACGACCGCCCAGATAGTGACCGTGGGGGAGACGGCGACGCAGACACACAAAGACAGAGAGAGAAAGGGGAGCGACAAAGACAAAATCGGAGACAGGCACACAGAGAGAGCGAGGGAGAGAAAAAGGGGGGAAGGTCATGTCGTGCGCGCACCCGAAAACGAGCTGACGTACAAGCACAGATGGAAGAAAAAGCGAAAAAAAAGGGAAAGGCGAAAAAGGTCCTAACTCCAACCAAGAGCCACCGTCCAACGTGAACATCGTGATTTTTATCTGAGATCTAAAGCTTGGCCCCCGTAAACTTTGTGTGGACTCACAAAAGGTGCCGAAAAGCTGCGACAACAGATCCCATTGCAGCCAACGGATGGGCATCGTGGGGGCCAGATTTTGCAAGTTGTTGTATGCGTACCAAAAACACCATCTGGCGTCACTGTGATCGTAGTCTAGAACATGCGTGGTTTGGATTGTCATGCCTGAACGCCGAGGGATAGGGAGCGGGCGCCAAATGGATGTACTGCTGTTGCTGCACCATCACACCGTCTCCGTAGCTCCGCCATCACCTCCGCAAAAACTCGTGATATTGTGCGCGAAAAGTTCATACGTGTCGTGTCAATGGTCGATCGCACCTTGGGGGGGGTACTCATAGTCGTGCATGTCGTAGTCGTTAGACCATTGACCTCGCATCCCTACAAAGCCGGGACGGAGCACGCCGGGTTCTCACCGGACCAGGCTCTCACATCACCAAGCGCGAAGCGCCGTGAGGTATTCGGCGAGTCGCATGAAGGGTGCGCTGCATCCTGGCAAGGGTTTTCGGCATCTTGTGCTTTCTTCCATGCGTACGGATGACAGCTGCATATGACTTAATTTACTTTCTGGTGCTTTCACTTCCAGAGACAGTTGTAAGCACTGTGTAACTGCCTCGAGGGTGCTTGACCATTTTAACACAACGTGGTGCGATCATCCCCCTTGCGCGGAGTGAGGGTTCTCCACCCCGCACAACATGATCCACTCGACCACCATTATCGCTACCGCCAAAAAAAAAAAAGAGCTAAAAAAAAAAGACGGTAACCCGGTTGCCCAATTCACGAAGTGAATTGGCTTGTTTTACAACGCCGTTGCCAAGCGACGAAAACCCGATTAGGGGGGATGGGGGGCGGCTTGTTTTACAGCGTCGTTGCCAAGCGACGAAAACCCAACCCCGATGGCAAACACCGACCGCACCTTGGAGGGTAGTAAAACAAAAATCGAGTTCTTGGGTGAACGAGATGGGAAACAAGACACCCCCTCCTCGGGTGCGGCTATCAAAAGATTGCAAGTGCTGTTCCAAGGAAGCAGCTTTGTGCTGGTCGCGAGATACGGATGTCATATTATTAGTATGGGCAGGTGAAAGTAATGCCACTGGAAATGAACAGGGCCTTCTCTATCAAGCCTATCTATTTACTACTGTACGTACACTTGTGCTCTGAGCATGTCAAGGGGTGCGACACATGAAAACATCCGCGCACACACGTACGGCACTCAGGCCAGCTGCTGTGCCTGGGGTATTACACCAGGGCAGCAGGCATAACATTTATTCTTTCGCCCGGGGTTGGGACGGAGAGACATTATGTCGAATGAACACCAGAATGCTACCAGAATACTACTTAGGTATGAAACAAGCAATTCACCAACTGGACCGGAAGCGTGAATTAAACTACGAACCACATCATGTCACACACACTCTAGGAACGAGAAATCGTTGCGACAGCTCATTTCACTCAGTGAATTGCATCACAACCAACCCCGCCTTGGGCTATCGCGACAGCAGCTTGCAGCTTCCGGTGCCGTCGCGGGGAAGGGAATCCATCCTCTGTGCCATTCAGCGTGTCTCCCCGCAAGCCAAGACTTGTTGACTGTGGAGATGAGGCGGCGTAAACCACCCCAAGGCAAGCCTCGTATTGAAGGAAATCAGCGAAGATTCACTCTCGTTGACGCTCACACCGTCATCGTCAGCAGCCGTCAAGCCAGAGATAGGTCAGCTGGTAGTCACACGTACGGATACAACGTCAATGCCAAGCGTTCGCGGGACCAGTATCAAGAGATGCACCCACCTGGGCTGGAAGTTTCCGATAACGATACAGAAGGCGATAGACATGCAACCCACGATGATTAGCCAAAGTCCCCCTGCTCTCCACTTCTTCGAGTCGGTAAAGTCCAGAGTGGAAACCCGCCTTTCAGCGCGGCAGGAACAGTAGCAGCAGTAGCAGCAGCAGCTCATCATCAACAAAAACACTGCATGTCCCTCATCCACGCATGGCCGAACACAGCGAAAAAACAGCAACAAAGCGGCAATAACAATAACAGCAGCAGCAGCACTGCAAACAGCTCAAGAACAACACAGCATGACCCTCACCCATACCCCATACATCACCGAACACGACAGCAAGTACTGTAGCAACAACATCCTCCTCGGTAACTTTAACTTTACATACAAGAAAAATGTCAAGCTACTACAAACGATGTGTCAAAATAAAATTCAGCACGCACCGCAGGAGGAAGGTGGGGCATGAAAAAATATCAAAAGAAGGAAAAGGCCCTGGTGTTTACCCCCTCCTGTGTGACCCTGGATGGTTGTAGGTGCACGAAAAAGTACACTGAAAAGTGTAGTACTCTACATACACTGAATAGTGTAGTACACGTCTCACCACGAAAAATGGGGGGACTGTCGCCATAATAAACAGGACCAAAACGCAACAAACATGGACGCGCCCTGGAAAAAAAAGCACAAGAAAAGAGACAGCCACTCGATAAAACAATCAACAACCCACCTGCTGACGTAGTTGTCGATGGCCTCCTTGCGCTTCCTGGCGACGGTGCGTCCCAGGCTGAAGGGGGTCCCCAGCTTCTTCAGCTCTTCGCGATGATGCCACTGCCGGTGCTGGTGTCTCCAGCCGTGCTCAATCTGGCACCCGCATCGACATCGGGTTTAGGGTTAGGGTTTCTAGTCGTGTTCCATGCGACATCCACGTCACAACAAACGCCACCGCCTTGTCCGTCACTCTGTGATGCCATGTCACTCTGTCATGCCATGTCATGTCATGCCATGTCATGCCATGTCATGTTATGTCAAGTCATGTCATGTCATGTCACGGTAAACTCGGTACTGCCCCTCCCCCATGTTCTCGAGAACACACAGCAAGAGAGACGGATGTGGGTTTGGATGGTCTCAGGCTACACTCCTACCCTCCCAAACGTGAGGTCGGTCGTAACACAGAGAGAGAGAGAGAGAGAGAGAGAGAGAGAGGAAGAGCCAGAAAATTTCGAAAAAAAGAGAGTCCGAGGTCGATGGACGCCTCGAGGTCTCGAGGTTACCCGTTTGCGACAAAGCACGAATTCCGTGGGTAATTAACTGCCCCTGGTACTCGTGGTGTGTACAATACAATACAAGCCACACGGCCCACATACACGGCAGCTCTGCCGCGGGCATGTGATACGGCGAAATACTCCTCCTGGTGACGACGGCCATCAGTGTTTGCAATATTGCGGTGACAAAAAAGAAAAACAAATGGGCGTATACGTACGAACGGTCGCATGTCTGTTTTGGGAATAGTGCGTGTTGGCTCTGCCATGAAGACACCATCAAAAAATAGAAAGAGGCGTTATCGTGCTCGTGTCCTAGTCTGTACCTTCTTGTCTCCCGGCCTGTGGTGGAACCCGGGGTGCACGTGGTGTCGATCCTGCAACGCAAAGAAACGGGGGGGCAGGGGGGACAGCGACTACTTGATAAATATGTGCCACGCTAAAAAAAAAACACAGGCTGCTGCTGCCAGTCAGTTAGCGAACTAACCAATCCGGGGTCATGAGGACGGAACTTGTCCGGCAGTGAACGAAACGGAAACGGCATGGCATAGCACACAAATGCATGAAACACCATGTTCTCTTGTGACAGGGTTCTGGCAGCAGCAACGGAATGGGCACTGATGCGGCTTTGACATGGCCTACAGTGTACTCATTGTGCCCGGAGCATCCAGAATAAAATACTTCATACAAACACCGCACAACCGCATTGTTCCAACTTCCTTGCATATCTTTTTCACGTTGGCACCCTGGGTGGTGCAAGGCAGCTCGAAAACTAGACCAAAGCCACCACAACAAAACAGCAAACACACAGCAGACAGAAGGCAGTGTGGCAGCCAGCGGTATCCCGAATGTCCTATCCCCCCAACGCAGGCTAGTTTGCCGCGACAGCTTGCTGTAGCTTACCGCCTGAGGGACGTCTTCCTTGTGGTGAAAGGCCTTGTGATGGTGTTTCGTCTTCGGCCTCTGAGGGTACATTGCACATACAATAGGGATTATACACCAGCAGCAGCACAGAGCAGAGGCAGAAAGCAACACACGATCAGACAGGTCCTAATTCCAAACTGTGGTGCGACAAAAGCGCGGTGAGGGGAGGGAGCCAAGAAGCGACAACACGCAACGGCGGCCGCCCAATGAAAGCTGATCTTGCCTTCGACGTGTGTGGGTGGAGGGGACGTGAGTTGCCAAGGATGGCGTCAACCCCTCGTCTTCGTCATTCGCAAGGGGAGATACTCCAGCTAATGCTAATGCGTAAGATGTAACATGAGAGGTGCGAGATACCATGTGGTACAAGAGAAACCAGCTAAAAGGGATCCCCCTGTACCCCTCGTTGGGTGGGAGTATGATCCTAACGTATGGTCACGGAAGGCATCCGCGCCAGTTGGACCGGCATGATGCTAGATGTACGAACGTACTGAGTAGACGCCGTTAGGACTGCCAACATCAACAACGACACCCAACACCAGTACTCTCTCCATCATAATCACAAGGCTGAGCCTGAGAACAAAAAAAAAAAAAGATAACAACCAGCAGCAGCAGCACCAGCAGCAGCAGCAGCACAACCACCAAGGAAGCGACGACAAACGCAACAAGCCAAGCCCAAACCCACAGATCAAACCAAAAAGGCAAAGCCATCTCACTCCGTGACATCCAACCAAACCAAAAAAGACAAAGCGAGCTCTTCACGTGAGATCCAACCAAACCAAAAAGTCGAGCAATCTCATATCCCGTGTCGAAGGCGGTGGTGAAGATCCTCTCTACATCCTGCATCGTACCGGTTCTCCATCGAGAGACCCATCCGCTCTCTCCTCCGGCCCCGTCGGCTGTGCAACCTTCCTGGCCCTCTTTTGGTGGTGGCCGTGCCCCTGTCTGTGCGTCTCGCGACTCTTGGAGGCATCTTCGGCTAGCTCCTCCTTCGTCGGCTTGGACGGCTTGGGGACCACTTGCTTCACTGGATTCTGGTATGTACAGTCAAAGAAGTTTCAGCGAGGGGGTATGGAGGGGGGGTTGATGCACCGCCCTTGGTCGTGCGGCATTTGCTTGCCTTGGTTTGGATGGCTGTGGTGGTTAATTGTAGAAAGTTAACGTTTAACGACAACATGACGGCAAAATCAATACCCATAGACTTAGACGTTGTGATTGAAAACACTGGACACTATTGAAACCCTCAGAAGCGGGAGGTCAGGAAGGAACACATGCCTCTCTGTTTCTCTCCCCCCCCTCTCTCTCGTTCTCGCTCTTGTACTTCTAGCGGAAAAAAAGAAAATACTCCACCTTCCGGCTGAGCAGCTTCCTCCTTGACCCTGCCGCCCCCACATGCTGCACCACATCGCCGAAGCCATCGAGGCGACCGCCTTCATCCAGACCTTGGTCGTCCTCTTCCTCTTCCTCTTCCTCTTCCCCCTTTTCTTGGTCTGGAGGGGAAGGAGAGAGCCGCCGCCTTTCCCGGTTGTCGAACTCTTCCAGCCCTAAAACAAATACTCCGAGTAGTGAAGATTGATACTGTATGATTGTTGCTGTTGACGATGATACATGTAATGTTGATGATGGTACGTATTGGTGGTGAACGTTCTCGCCATGCACGCTCTTGCAATCTTCCAACTGTACGCCATGCACGCTCGAGGAAATATCGATTTCCCTACACGTGTCGGGGAAACCGGTTATCCACTCACTGCATGAATATTGCAATATTGTAACAACATTTTGCAAAGTGCGATCGAATCACCTCGAAACCCAACATCATCGCTCGATCGCCCTTGCGGCCCAATCAATTATCTGTCGAGAAGCGAACTCTCAGTTTCACCGCCTTTTCGGTGTTCGTGCCCACCGAAGCACCCTGTTGTGAAATTTCGGGCAACAAACCAAAGCTAAAACTACAACTTTCGTCGACTTCTTGTCATCCATCTGACACTAGGTACTGTTGCCGCTGGTGCATGAAATAGACTAAAAATCAGAACAGAGTTGGCTTGATGCATAGAAACAAGTGTGGGAAAACCGTCATTAAGGAAACAAAAAAATGGACACGACCAATGCCGGCTAGATAGGATGATATGATGTGGTGGAGATCAGCTAACTGTCCATCCAAATGGGCATCGACGACGACACCGAGAGCAGCGGCAAAGCCGCCACCTTTAAGAGAACAACGGCGAAATCACCAATAAGATTGAAATGGTCACGCAAAGACAAGCAGCTTCAGCATGTGTTGTAAACTTGACGATAGTTGCGCTGCATATGTACCGCATTGTGGACGACGACCATCAAGCGATTCGTTAAGGGCAAAGGAACATACCAAACATACCTAAGCATGTCTACCTAGACAGCCTTTGGAGTAGAAAAAAAGTGGCTGGCCTCCTTCTCAAAAGCGATCAGTATGTCCCAACCCCAATCTGTTGCGGTCCTCCAATCACACTGACCTGACCTCCCACTAGTCAAACCTACATAGCGCGGTCCTCTATCGCACTCACTCAGCTTACCTCCCACTGAGGATATGCTCCTTCCTCCGCCTTTTCTCAGCTCATCCTCGCTCGCTGCTGCGCCACCTCCTCCCGCTCTCCCCTCGTTTACGTCAAGGTCCTTCTGTGCCTGTCCACGCTCCAGCGGAGGACGCCCTGCCGCACTGATGAGGTGGGGGGGGGTGTACTCATAGTCGTGCATGCCGTAGTCGTTAGGCCATTGACCTCGCATCCCTACAAAGCCGGGACGGAGCACCCCGGGCGCGAAGCGGACCAGGCTCTCACATCACCAAGCGCGAAGCGCCGTGAGATATTCGGCGAGTCGCATGAAGGGTGCGCTGCATCCTGCTAAGGGTGTTCGGCATCTTGTGCTTACTTCCATGCGTACGGATGACAGCTGCGTATGACTTAACTTGTTTTCTGGTGCTTCACCTCCAGAGACAGTTGTAAGCACTGTGTAACTGCCTCGAGGGTGCTTGACCATTTTAACACAACGTGGTGCGATCATCCCCCTTGCGAGGAGTGAGGGTTCTCGACCCCGCACAACACGCTCTACTCGACCACCATAATGGTTACCGCCAAAAAGCAAAATAGAGTTAGAAAAAAACCCGGTAACCTGGTTGCCGACATCACGAAGTGAATTGGCTTGTCATACAACGTCTTTGCCAAGCGACGCAAACCCAACCCCGATGGCAAACACCGGGGGGGAGGATGAGGTGGGGGTGGGAGGGAAAAAGAACAACATTCTCAAGAAAATGTTGGATGTGGTTTCTGCCGGAAGCGAAATTTCGAATCAGACATTTCGGGACGAGAGCAACCAACGCACGTCAGTGACGACATACGTGTATCCTGCTCTCTCTCTCCCTCTCTGTCTGGTACTATTGACGTGGTTTCGACTGCCTCAGTACCCCCAACCCCTTCGGAAAACAGAGGCCGGGTAAATGACACACAAGAAAACACACAAACTTATTAACATTTCTGTTCGTGTCCTGGGATGGACTGGCTGGAACAATTACATTCACACCACCGCAACAGGTACATCCTTCAGTATTTCTTTCAGAAATTTCCAAGAACTTTCTTACGGTGGGTTGTTGTCGGGATCATCTGGGGACAGCTTCTTGTTGTTGTTGTCGGTGTCAGGTTGAGGCTTGGCGCGGTAGTGCAGATTGTTGCCCATCTGTCGCATCTGTTGGTCCCGGCGTTGCATTTCCTTGTGTGCCTTGGCTGCCTGTTGGTGAGTACATCACACGAGACCGCAATCAGATCACATCGTAAACGAACGCACCACATCGCATCGAAGGGACTGCTTGCTGCAGCTTCGGCTACACCATAAAAGAAGAGGTGAAGCGTCGCTCCTCCTCTTCGACACAGTACCCTAGCGCCCAAGCAACAGGACCGATCGTCGGACCAGTTCGAATGTCGTCTTGTGAAAGTGCACCTCCGTCCTAAACCACTTACCCTACTGCTTGACGACGAGAGAGAGGGGATTCACAACTCTTCGCACCAAGACCAACAACTTGGCAAGGCATGTGCACCTTGACCCCAGAAGGGAGGGGATCGCCGATAGAAAAATTGTAGCCGTGTTTATCCCGAGTGGCCAAAGGAGGGAGGCTACACAGGCATAAAAAAAAGGAGTATGATACACAGCCTGACATCGCCTTCGAACAAAAAAATATATATTCAGAAGTATCAATCAGCACGACATGTTAATAGGTAAAAGGACATGCAGAAGGCCGGAACAATTGAACGTCCTCAGGTAGGTACCTCTTCGAAGGCCTGCTGGCTGAGTTCGCGATGCTCCTCCGCGGTCATGCCTCGGGCTTCCTCCATGTTCCGAATCTGATCCATCATGCGTACAAACGCACACAGTGAAACGATTACTTCATTTGCGAGTAGAAACTCCGACACCGGTACATACGCATAGTAGCGAATGGCGGTACAAGTCATGACTTGTTGAGGTACAGTACAGTACTGCTACAAGCCAATAGGTACACGTAAATAATCCCTTACATAGAGCAATGCCATGACACGTTCCTGGCGTGACGGTAGTGAATATCGGACACTTCTCGCCACGGAGTCCCTCCCTACTTGTGTAAGTTTTCATGGTTGTAAGTTGGCTTTTCTTATCATTTTCTCACCGTTCACACCGCTATCGCGGACGCCAAACAAAGCGAGACAGACAGGCACCCACACCTACCGCATACAGCGTCACACGTGGCATCGTAGCGCACACGGTGTCATACCGCACACGGTGCCGTACACGCCTACCTCCCGGCGATTTTTCTCGCGCATGGTGGCGGCGTCACCGGGAAACCGCTCCTCGTCGTCGAAATCGCCTCCCCTTGCTGCCGTCGCCTTTTGCCGCTGCTGTTCATCCGGCTCTTTGATCGGGGGCAATCCTCGTTCCTCTCTGTCCTTCGCCCACTTAGCCCTCTGCGCGTCCTTCCGTACGAGTTCAGCTTCTCTCCTGGCCTCCGCCGCATAGCGATTAGGCTGGTGGCCGTGGCATACATACATACATACATACATGCAGCACACAAAAGCATCGTCACAGACGGTTAGGGTTCGGGATAACATGCGGTCGTTCTTACAAAAAAAGGCAATGAGAGTCGGGCCGTCCTGTAGACTGTGAGGTCCAAGGAGATCAGAACGAGAGAGAGAGAGAGAGAGAGAGACTCTGCTGGTGAAGGTCAATCACTATCAGATCAGGCCAGCAAACGAGAAGGCGTTCAAGTGTTGGGACAAGCCATCGGTACCTTGCAAAGGCGGGCGCCTAGATAGGCTTCTGATCAGGGTAAGAAATAACAACAACAACATCAACCACAGCATCCATAGCAACAACATCAACAATCATAACAGCCACAACAACTACAACCACAACCACAACGAAACTTGCCATAGCGGCCTTGGCGCCCGAGGGTCCTCCCGCGGGCGGTATCGCGTTCTCCAGTCGCTCTTTCGCTCTTTGTGCCATCACGGCCATGTCGTAGTCGTCCTCGTCATCGTCTTCTTCTGAGGAGTCGTCGTCACCATCGTAGCTGTCGTAGCTATCGTCGTCGTCCTCGAAACTGTCGTACGATTCGTCATCATCCTGCGGATTGTATTGGATTGTAACCCGGCGTCATGGTTACAGTCAGCCGCCGAGGTGTGCAAGCGCATTATCAAAGCAAATACAAAGAACAGCTCGAAGGATTGACCGTGCCCGAAAAAAATAACAAGGAAAAGATGCATGCACCACGAATAGAAGATTGATCTAGTATGCAAACGGAGGAGGGGCAGGGAGAGACGATGGAAACCACGGACAAATGTACTGTAACTTCATGCGAAAACGGTAAAACTGCAGGTTCTAACGAGGGGTAGTGGATTGGGGATAGCATCCCGACACGAGGCAGATCAGATCTTTGCAGATCGAGCTAGCTCTCCAAGGGTTTGTCCCTTGTGATCGGTAGGACATCGGTGGCCTGAATGTTTCCTGCATGGTCATCTGAAACAAAAAATGATCAGGAAATGTTTGCTCCATGTTGATCTCAAGGACTTTCGTGGTCTGGGCGATGTCTGCCCGACGTGATCCGTGATTGGGTGACGTTTGCCCAATGCGATCGGTGATTGGGCGATGTTTGCCCGATGCGATCGGTGATTGGGCGATGTCGGCCCGAGGGTATCGGTGATTGGGCGATGTCTGCCCGAGGCGATCGGTGATCGGGCAATTGTTGCCCGACGAGATCGGTGATTGGGCGATGTTTACCCGAGGTGATCGGTGATTGAGCGATGTTAGCCCGAGGTGATCGGTGTTAGGGCGATGTTTGCCCGAGGTGATCAGTGATTGGGCTACGTTAGCCCAAGGTGATCGGTGATTGGACAATGTTAGCACGACGAGACCGGTGATTGGACGATGTCAGCCCGACGAGATCGGTGATTGGGCGATGTTAGCCCCAGGTGATCGGTGATTGGGCGATGTTAGCCCGACGAGATCGGTGATTGGGCGATGTTAGCCCGACGAGATCGGTGATTGGGCGATGTTAGCCCCAGGTGATCGGTGATTGGGCGATGTTAGCCCGACGAGATCGGTGATTGGACGATGTCAGCCCGACGAGATCGGTGATTGGGCGATGTTAGCCCCAGGTGATCGGTGATTGGGCGATGTTAGCCCGACGAGATCGGTGATTGGGCGATGTTAGCCCGACGAGATCGGTGATTGGGCGATGTTAGCCCCAGGTGATCGGTGATTGGGCGATGTTAAACCGACGAGATCGGTGATTGGGCGATGTTAGCCCAACGAGACCGGTGATTTGGCGATGTTAGCCCGAGGTGATCGGAAAGACCTACGTAATCTGTGTATGTGTGCCCGTGGTCAAGCCATTGATCACCGGGCTATTTTGACCGAGGTGATCATAGGTGATTGGGGTATGTTTGCCCCAGGTGATGTACAAGACATTGGTAGGTGATTTGATTATGTTTGCCCGAGGTGATCTGAAAGACATCGGTGATCGGGTCAAGGTTGCTCGATGGTGTGATGTGTAAGACACAGGTGACAATTACCGCTTTTGAGATGTGCCAGCTCGCGACAGAATCAACACGAAAGAACGCCAACACCATAACAAGCTTCCACTAAAGCAGTCCTCGAGTGTTGGGGTTGTGAATGCTTGGTGGACCAACGCGAGACCCCCACCCCGCCTTCCTTCTTTGCGTCTTCCAGGTCTGTGGCTGGCCTACGCAGACACCTGTAATGGGCGCCGGTCTGACCAACCAATTATTCGAGTGTCATGGGAACGTGCTTCGACCCGAGTTGACTTGTTATGATGTATCGCACAGTAGTGGGCCCTGTATATCGTAGGTCGGGTTGTGCCCGGTGCCCGGCTTTGTGTCGATGTTTTCGGGTCGCACACACTGAAATACAAAGTCGTTCTGTACTCTGAATAGTGCCGGTGCCCGGTGTACTGCCCGTAAATTATCTGGACACATATCGGCACTGTACAGGGCCCACTACTGTATCGAGCTGTCGATCCTCTGTTGTAGTATCCCTCTTCGAACTCCTCTAGGAAAGACGGGAAGCATTCTTACTGTAATTGCATGGATCACATGCCGCCAACAACTGATTTCAACAAAAAAAAAACAACGGACGAAGAATACAGCAGCAGCAGCGGCACGAACAGTCAACCATAGCATAGTGGCCCCTGCATAAGGTCGCACGAAAAATGCCCCATCATCCCGTGCAAGGCCGGCGAAATCGCGTGCAACACATGGAATATTGATTCAAAGCGGTCTCATTTTGCTGTGGATAGTGCGGGGTGCACCCGGTACAAAGTGAGCAAAAAAAATCCATGGCAAAATGTGGACCGCTACGGTACATAGCCGTGTTGTTGTACTCTTGATATCAACATACATCGTAATGTTTTTTTTCAGTTTTGGGGACGCAACGCAATATATGGAAGATAAGAAAATGTGTTGGTCATTCATGCGCCTCAACTGCCTTGAGCGAGGGGCGGCAGAGCCCCTAGTGGGAGTCCGAGCGATGGACGTCTTGGCGTTCTGACGGTGTCGTTGGCATTTCCGGCAACGAACCCATGCGTCATGAGGGCAAGTCGACCTCCTCGGGAGGGAAAGGGCAGACTGTCGCCCAGTAGGCGCATGTTTTCTTATTTTCTTATAGATGAAGATTCGTGGCATAGCTCGGGAGGAGAGGGCCAGCGCCTCACTAAATTCCTCCCGTAGCACAATAAATAACTACGAAGTACAACAGTATCTTTAAATGTTCAGTTTTGAGGACGCCATAATAAGCAATGGATGCGGAGCAGGGCAGTATTATTGTGCAAGACATCAAGCAACATCAATCAACATCAAAAATAACTCACGTCTTCCGAGTCTGGCTCGAGGTAGACCACGTTGTAGGAATGGCCGAGTTTTCTCTGCGCCGATCTCCTGAGCTTGACAGGGTCCACTACCTCTCCATTCTTCACTCGGACCAGCTCTCCTCTCACCATCTTGTGCCTCTGCAGGAAGAACGAATACAAACAAATGGCGTGATACAGTGATACAGTACGTGTTGTGAGATCGTACGACATTTTCGGGGAACTGGTACCGCCCGCGGCAAGGAACATGATAAAAAAAAAAATTTTCCTTCGAGTTAGGGTAGTGGCCTCCTCCCCGTGTCACCTATACAAGCCCAAATCAAACAATTTGTAGGTACTACTCTAATGGTTCCCGGCTCCATCAGACCCTGGATGATACACACGCAAAATATACGAAGAGCAGAATAACCGAAAGGTGAACGAATAAGACTGGAGCCAGCACAGCCGCGAAGGCTCTTTGTAGAAGGAACGAAATTTCACTCTTAAGCAACAGACGTTCCTCGTACAAGTATGGTGTAGCTGGTCTTCCTGAAGAGGTCGTCCAACACAATATCATCACAAGCCGCACGATTGTGGACGGAGACTCAGGGGGGGGGAGGTGATGGAGACGGATCAACGCGCTCATATTTCATATTCTTCAGGCGGTCCCGAAGACAATCAACTCTTCTTGTGGAGGTGCTACACACCATCCGCACAGTGTTGTATGTGCAGGCGTTTACGGTAGTGTTGGAATACCGAAATACTTCTACGCAGGAGCGCACAGGAAAAATGTACGAGAATCATGCAGTGCGCACGGTCGTAGCTGAAGGCACAGGAGACCCAACATACCAAAGCGAGTAGATACAACAAACCAACGAACGAACGAACAAACCAATCGCAACGTGGGTTGGCTGGCATGATCGTCCTCAACACCGCAACCATCGACTCTACCGCCACCCACGGGTACGTACATGATCCACCCACACACCCATGGTCACCCGTGACCACCTGACATGCTCAGCAACAGTATCGTACCGGGATCATGAGCACCGTTGTCTCCCCCGCCCTTAGGTCCTCAATCTTGCAACCTCCGGGCTCACAAAGCACCCACGTTGACTCCATCTTTCTGGAGCAATACACCCATCCTCCAAAGATCATCGACATGCTCAACTGGTGCGAAAACAGCAGTAGAAAACAGGAGCAGCAGCGAAATGTGTGCAATGCAAGTTACCAAGCGAGAGAACAGCAGCAACACGAACCCAGTTCAACAAGAAACAAGAAACGCAGTAGCAACAGCATATAAAGAACGATAACATTGCGTTGACGACGACAGCAGCGCCGAGAAAATAGTTGAGTCATCTCACAGGCTCAAGAACGGAGACGACAGAAATATAAACATCAAAGAACCGCCGCGAAACAGGGTACCTTGAGGTCAGGGAAACCACAAGCAAGAGGTAGGCAAGACGTTCGGGTGTGGGGTAGGGGTGTTAAGGATAACCGCACGTACGGTCGAGATCAAATATCGCACGCGCAGCACTCTTAATAGGGATGACTACCGCACTACGGCCGTGTTCTGAACACATGATGGGCAGGGTTGGATAAATTTCGTCAGAAGTCGTCATCCCTTCTCTTCCCTTCGTAGGCTTCTTGCTTTCTATGCTGAATACCAAATATCTCTTGCGAACGTGGAACGGAAACGCTGTATTCATCGCACAGCCCCTACCAGCATCATCAGTGGGGAAACAAACAGGACTTCACACAGGTTGTATTTTCGGTAGGGTTCAAGTGCTAACCATATCGTTGAAACCGAACCCTCAACTCCTTGCTCAAGCACTCGGTACGGACCGTTGTTGTTTCTCTCAGACGGAAGAGAAGCATGGTGGAACACAGGAAATGTTGCTAGAGTTTACTATTACCACGGCATGTGGTGGAAGAAGCACCATGGGTGTGCTCAGGATAGACCCGCTCACGTGCGGCAGAGAAATTCGGCCGTTACAGCAGTCTGGTCTACTGAACTCCCGAGTAGACAATAGAGGCACACACTTCCTGGTGGAGAATCGTTCATCATATGGGGGCTGCAGGGGGGTGCGTGTAGGTCTCTGTTGTGTTATTGGTTACTGTGCCGTCTGCAGAGTGTAGATATTAAACGCATGCCGTGAAGGGTCTGTGTAGTCGTGCACAGCGGTACACTGCAGCAGACACGTGGACGTATCATCTTACGGTGACTATCGACGGAATACAGCAAGCACAAGTCTTACGACCAGACTGGATAACCAACAATGATCACCTCGATCGATCGTTGATGCATTTGACCGTGGCACGTGCCAATGACACCGGTTTGCACCACAGCAATAATGCTCAACATACAGCTACAGGGTGGGGTAGAGCGCGCGTGTGCATTGTTTCTTGTGTACGCGGGGAGATTCAAGATCACGTGGAATGTACATTGCTGTGCTCGCTCGGATACCAAACAAGAGCGAGGTGGAAATACTCGCAAATAATGCCCTGCAATCGACCAAGAGAGCAAAGCAGCAGCTGGCAGGCATGCAAGAAGTCGATGGGTGCAAAGAAGGGGTTGTTCGGTGTCGAAGGTAGCACACAGCATACAGCAGTAGATGCATCGATGCATCGAAGATTGTCCAAGGATCGATCGGTTGAGAAGCAAGTCAACCGACCCACCGCTTTTGAAAACTTCTTCAGACCAACGTAGAGATATGTAGACTGCAGCAACAGACACAGCAGTAGATTCTCTTTTGCAACAACACTCACCAATGCCCACACCATCGTTGCAATAAAAGACTTGGACAAAGCTGCCTTCGGGCTTGACCTGGCCCTGCCGTACAAGCCCCCCCCTCCGCTCCGCCCATTCCCACTATGAGGGAGTAGGGGGTCTCTGCTGCCCCCTCGACTAGGGACACGGAACATCTAGAAGACGCAGTGGCAGCAGCCTGGTGTTTCGCAGAAGTGGCAGAGAAGGCCAATCCTCTACACGCCTATCAGCGAGGAAATGAATAGATGCTTTAAAGCTCTATTTCTCTTAGCTTCGCAACTCAGTGGCTGTGACACTCTGATAATAATGTTGTTGACCTTCCACAGGAGCGGGGGCAGGAGAAGGCATGTCGAGAGTCGAGAGCGGGGTGTTCATACTGGTGAGGCGTGCGACCGTTTCAGCGAAGACCGGGGACGGCGCGCATACTGATGGTGTCGGAGCCAAAGACGGAGATCATGTGCATGCTGCCAAAAGGGATCGAGGAACGCCCGTTCACGGTCAGCGCCGCCGGCCAGACGTACAAGCAGACAGATCGGTTTGTGTACCTCGGACGTACCATCTCCGCGGATGGGAAGGCCGACCGGGAGATCACGAGCCGCAGCTGCCGAGCGTGGAAGTGCTACCGCCGGAACAGTGCTTCGATATACGACATGCGACGGGCCAACCGCCAGCTCAAGATCCGGCTTCTCATGGCTGAAGTGGTGGAGACTCTCCTGTATGGGTGCGCCTCGTGGAGCCTAACAGCGGAGCACTACACGAAGCTCAATGGGACCCACCGCCAGTTCCTTACACGGTGCATGGGCTGGAGCAAGCGGAAACGCTCAGACCGCCCCCTGTCCTATGCCCAGGTCCTCATCATCCAGGCAGGCTGCA